AGGTCCATAAACCTCTAGACCTATCTATGTGGTTGCAAGAATAATAAACAACTCAGGTCATAAGACTTGGGGATCTGTTTGGACAACCTCTTTATACACAGGATGTATGACCTCCTTGTGCACCTAGTCACAAAAAAAAGGTGTTAGACCATTCCACTCTCATGAGAATCAGGTCCACATGCAATGACTATGATCTTGGCCCAATATCATCTGAAAATAAATCAGAATCAATCAGGTAAAAAGGGCAACTCTTGGGGTTTTGGTCAGATCAGGATCCTCCATAGGAACAAATCTAAGTTCACAAAATCAAGGAAGCAGCATTAGCATTTCTCTAAGTTCCAATAATTCTACAACAGAAAAATAGCTTACCATCTTTTAGAGATTTATAAAAGTATTGTTGTGAGCAGGCCAGAAAGTTTCAAAAGTGCCTGCCAATTATACTACTCCTTGTTTATCCTCCTGAGAATAAAACAAACTTCAGACATCTCTTAAGGCCTTGAAAAAGCCATATGCTCTGACCAGCTAGGTCCTAACTCATGGCTTGTTTTACTAATCCATTCTGAATTTATTATCTACCAGACAGTTAAGTAGCACAATAACAATAACTAATATACTTCATTTCAAAGATCACTTTAAAACATACTTTTCAGTCCTCAGTGAAAGAAGAAGGGGTGGAGGAACATTGCAGCTGGACTGTGGTTACATTCCTCATGTTTTGTGGTCTGAGCCTCACAGTGAAATGCAGCAAAGATTTCAGAGTTTCCCTTTACAGTATGCAGGTGTACAAGTAATGGTTCAGGCAAGGAATCAGTCCAAGCCTGGGTTTCAAACAGGCCAGACAAAGAAAAGAAATTGGTCTTTTTTTCCTCCAGCAAAACTGGCTAAATAGAGCTTTGAATTCTAATATCTCATGTACCAGTAGCCAGATGAGACAGGTAATCAGAGAGGGGAGAGGTTGAAAATTCCTAGGGCCATTACATTAATTATAATTGTCCAATGAATCATTCAATTTCTATTTGCCATCTCCCATGAAGATCTGATTCCACCTAATGTCCTGGAAAGGTTTACATCAAAATTAAAAACTCAAGAGAAAGAAAAACCATGTCTAATTTGCTCTTTCAGTGATCCAGGCTAAGAATAACAGAGGCATAAGCATAATCAATAAATGTATTTCTATTTATATATTTATGTATACATTTATGTTGTTTCAAAAAAGGATTTGAAGTACTTCACAAAAATGCATAAAACCAGCTAAAACACTTAATAGTTCATAAAATCTAAAACAGCATCAATTGTAAAATGCATCATTAGCTTGTATAACACTAAGAAAAGATAAGTACTGTCAATTATAATATGACATGCCATTAATTATAAGATGCCTCTCATTTTATCAATATTAAAATGTCCAAAATGTATATATCAAAATCAACAAAATATAATATGTGTTTCAGCGAAAGGTGGAAGATAGAGGCAGAATATAAAATTCATTAACCAAAATGCAATTCTGTGGTTCCTCTGGCTGCCAAAGAAAAAACAGATAGTATAATCACCTAAAACTAGCTGGCCTTACCAGATCACTTGAGAAAATCGATCAATAAATCAATAAATCACTGCTGCTACTCACACTGGGGTGTGCTACTTGAAAATGCCCACAGGTTAAGTTGCTACTTCACAAATTAAAGTGTGCAACTGATCTGGAGCAAAAATATTTACCATCTCAAGGAACACCCTTCCTACAAGCTCCCGAAGTGATTTTCCTGCATAACTAATTTTAAAGTCAGATCATCACGAAAATTTTGATAAAAATCTGGAAAGACACTTAATTTGAACATTATGGCACTAGGAGAAGGCTGTTTGGAAATAGACCAGCCTCCAGAGAATTACCAGGTGATCTTTCTTAAGCATATATCTGGTCATGGTATTCTCTTTTGCTCAAAATCATCTAGGCGCCCCTTCATCCCTTATAAGCCATGTTTTTCATCATTAAACAAACCAAATGATGTCAGCAAAAATGGTACAATAGACAGAGCCAAAGACCTGTCCTTCCAGAGAAACATCTTAAAACAAAAAACAAAATCAAGGAAAATTGTCAAAATCAACTTTGTCAAAACCCCGGAAAATAGTCAAAGGTTTGTGTCAATTGCCTAACTGTTGAACCAAGAAAAAGAAAACTCAAAACCAGGAGGAAAGTTTTGCAGCTTTTTGGCTTGCCCTGGCCCCACCCTCCTCTTCAGTTCAGCATTGGTCTTGTGGACGACAGACAGCCGCCCTCCCAGTATGGCATTTGATTTTTGGATCTTGAGGGAACAGACCAGATTCTTATTCTAAAAACAAGTGTGTCTGTTCACACTTGTCTGGCGGCTACCTAAAGGACTAATGTGAGTTACTTTCCTTTGTTCCTCACCTAGTCTGAACTCACTCAAAGCTGAAAAGCAGCTAACAATGTTCAAGTAGTAAGGCAAACAAAAAACCCTAAGCCACCAGGGGCAAAAAATTATAGTTCAGATAAAAAACAGATTGCCTAAAGCCTGGGAAGAAAAGCTGGAGAGTTTCTTTGAGAGATTAGGTCATTCAAAAGTGTCCAAGTACACTGGGGAATTTAGAAGCTACATTCATACCCAAAACAAGATGCATGTTCAGAAAAAACCTGAGGGGGGGCCTACATTTCCCTCTGGCTGACAGCTAGGCTCAGTGCAACCCGGAAGTGAAGGCTAAGGCCTTCAACTGAAATTAAAGGACCAACTTGAAGCTGCACAAAGAAATAAAAATCCAGACAAGGTAATTACATATGTTTAAAAAAAAAAAGAAAGAGAGAGTATTATGGGCACACAATGTATAATGATGTGATTTGTGGCAATAACAACATAAAGATAGGAGGGAGGAACAGAGGCGTATAAAACAGAGTTTTTATATGCTACTGAAGCTAACTGGTATCAGTTCAAACTAAAACGTTATAAATATAGGATGTTAATTAAAATCCCCATCATAACGATAAAAAATCTATAAAATATACAGACAAGGAAATGAGAAAGGAATCAAAATGGTACACTACAAAAAAATATCAATTAGGCACAAAAGAAGGCAGTAATAAAGGAAATGAGACAAACAAAAAAGCATAAGACATACAGAAACAAATAGTAAAGTGGCGTAAGTTTTTCCCTATGAGTCACTGAGTGGAAGTGGATTAAAAATTCTAATCAAAAGGCAGAGATTGGAGGAATGCATAAAAGGCATGCTCTAACTACATGCCATCTTCAAGAGATTTATTCTAGATCAAAAGGTTTCAAGTGAAAATATGGGAAAGATATTCCATGCAAATAGTAACCAAAAGAGACCTGGGTTGGTTATGCTAATATCAGATAAAACAATCTTTTAGGCAAAAGCTGTTACAAGAGTCAAAAATATACCAATAAAGGGGTCAATTCATCAGGCTGACATAACAACAAATATGTGCACCAGACAACAGTGGTCTGAAACATATGAAGCAAATGTTGACAGAATTGAAATGAGAAATACAGTTTTACAGTAATAGTTGAATTCAATATCCCACTCTCAATAATAAGTGGAACTTTTAGACAGAAGCTCAATAAGGAAATAGAAAACCTGAGAACGTCATAAACCAACTAGATCTAACAGACATAAATAAAACACTGTATCTAATAACAGCAGAATACACATTCTTCTCAAGAGCATGTGGAATGTTCTCCAGGACAGACAATACATTAGGCCACAAAACAAGTCTTAATAATTTAAAAAAAAAATTAAAATCATAAAACTAACTTCTCTGCTTCTATATCACAATGGAATAAAATGAGAAATCAATAACGAAAGGAAAACTAGAAAATTCACAAATACAGAAAAATTAAACAATCCTCTCTTTTTTTTTTTTTTTTTTTTGAGACAGGATCTTGCTCTGTCACCCGGACTGGAGTGCAGTGGTGTGATCTCGGCTCACTGCAGACTTTGCCTCCTGGGCTTAATCATTTATCCCACCTCAGCTTCTTGAGTAACTGGGACTATAGGTGCACATCACCATGCTCAGCTAATTTTCGTATTTTTTGTAAAGACAGATAAATTTTGTATTTTTTCAATGAGAAAGAAAAGGAATTTAATGAGCAATAAGAAATCATCTGGAGGTAAAAAAACTCATTGATAAAAGTAAGTACCCAGAAAAACACAGAATATTATAACACGGTAATTGTTCTGTGTAAACTACTCTTAAGGAGAAAGACTAAAATATGAGCCAATCAAAAATAATAAGGACAACTTTTCAAGACACAAACAGTACAATAAAATGTAAGCATGGGGAAAAATTAAAGTATAGAGTTTTTATTAGTTTTCTTTTTGTTTATGCAATCAGTGTTGTCTTTGGTTTAAAATAATGGGTTATAACATAGTACTTCCAAGCCTCATAATAATTTCAAATAAGAAAATATACAACAGATACACAAAAAATAAAAATCAAGACATTATATCATAACACCAGAGAAAATCACCTTCACTGAAAAAAGACAGATAGAAAAGAAAGAAGGAAGAGAAGACCACAAAACAACCTAAAAACAAATGATAAAATGGCAGAGGTAAGTCCATACATATCAGAAACGTTGAATGTAAATGGATTAAACTCTCCAATCAAAAGATGGAGAGTAGCTCAATAGATTTTAAAAAAAACAGGACCCAATGATCTGTTGCCTACAAGAAACATGCAAGAGGTACCAGGTGAATATTTGTAGATTATATGGCACTTATCTTCACAAAAGTAAGAAGAAAATAAATGAAACTTAAAGTAAATTTTTGCTACCATTACAAAATTTGGAAGTCCAGGGGTTGAGTCACTAAAATTTATACTAATAACTACATTTGATTTAGATAAAATGAAGCACTCTACAAAGGTTATATAAAAGTTGTCACAATTTAGGTTACATTTGACATATTATATTGCACCCCACGTTTTATATACTGGCTTGATTTAAAAATCGTTTTTGAAAAAAGACACTTACTCTCTCTCCTTTTCCGTCAGCTTGTCATTGATATTGTCTTTGATTGTTGATCTAGACCCTTTATGAATTATAGGATATCTGAGGGGCACTTGCAGGAAAAAGGAAATCATGGAGACCAAATGTGCAGTGTAACCAAGGGCAACAGCAATGCTTCCATCATCTTTTGCTGTAAATTCAAAAGCAGAGGAAAAGAAAATAACTATTTACCTTATAAATAACTACAAGATAATAAATCATTTAGAAGAATATCTTATAGAAATATGCGGTACATAAGATATTAAGCACTTATCTAAATTATATAAATTTGATGCAAATTTAAACATATTAACAAGACTTGAAATGTCATCTACTAACTGCATGTAAAATGATTTCCCAATAATTAATATGAGATTAACATTTGATATATATCTTAAAGCAAGAACTCTTACTATGTCCAAATAACCATCGCTTGCTTTCTTAGCATTTTTACAAGGAGAATTAATACTTGAGTCTATTGTATGATGTGAAAATTAGCTTCAGAGGTTTAAACATAAAAAACACACTATACAGTGGTTATATATTTTATTCATTAACAATTTCCTAGGCAATACAGTTGTACTATTTTACAACATTATTAATTCTAAAGGGAAATGAAATAGTATAATCATTCTTCTGGGGCATGTTCTTGATATTGAAAAAGGCAGTGTTACATAAATAAGCCTATGCAGTTTGACGTGGGGTAAGCGGGAAAATGTTTTAAGCAGCAAAAGCAAAAGGTAAAAAACCACTGTTTACATACCATCCTATTTATGCAATATAGGTGGAAGCAACTACTAGGAAAAAATGCATGTATCCTATAATCAGACATAAACATTTAGCTTTCAAAAAGCCACAGATAATTACATTTTTTAAACTTATCCAGATTTCTGCCACTATCTATTAAGTGATAAATGATGATGATTCATGTGATAAGAACAGGGAGCAATATAATCAAAAGTTTTAAAGTTCCCCCAAGAGGAAGGAAATAGGAACTTTCCGGTATACAGTATTCCTAAAATGCTTTTAAGAGTGCACAAGTGCATGTGTGTACACTCATGCAGTAAAATGTTTAACACATAATCTGGAATATCCCATCTGGCTAGGGAAGAAGGGCCAAAATGATCACAATGACCATGACTTGACTATTCTCTGACTTCTAAAGGTGGCTTTAACCTTAATTACTAATAAAAATTTTTGCATTCTTTCTATTTCTACTTAATATGGTAGAAATGCCACTATAGCCACTACAGCATTCCTCAGTGAATTCTCTACCCTTAACTACCATAGCAAACTATTGGTTTTTCTTTGATAGTCTTATTAAAATATATATATATATATATATATATATATACACACACACACACACACACACACACACATTTTCTGTCCAGAACTGTCTGTACTACTTTATATATGACATTCATTCACTAACAATGTAATTTAAACACCTTTTAAATGCTATTTCATTTATTTTACAGATAAAGAAACTAAGGATCAGAGATTAAGGAATCTTTCCAAAGTAACAGAGCCAGTAAACAGGTTGGCTTGACAACCAATCCTCTACCCTTAACCAGTCTATTGTACTGTCTCAGAACTTTATTGTTAAAAATTAATATAACAATTATTATTTTTTTTAAAAGATGGGGTCCCACTATGTTGCCCAGGCTGATGTCAAACTCCTGGGCTCAAGTAATCCTCACGCCTTAATCTCCCAAGTAACTGGGACTACAGGTGTGTGCCACTGTGCCCACCATATTTTAAAAATATATTTAATACGTTTTCCATATTACATATAATGATTTTTTAACTTGGAAGCCTCGAATGTACCAAGCACGTGACACACATGTACCACCTTAGTTTCTTCACAGTTTTCTAGTAAAAGCAAAGAACACATAAAATGTCTGAGAGTCCTCGATGACTTGCACAGTACTCAACAGAAAATGGGCTTCTCAAGGAATGTCTGTTCTCTAAAATAAGCTCATGGGAAAAAATCAAACAGCAGTCATTTTCCACCGACTACTGAGTCATGCCCTAACTAACTAGAATCCTAATTATTTTTAGAGACCATGTCTTCTTGTCCCAGTCCCACCCAAGTACCTTGAGTACTGCTACAACACTTTCCTTCTGCTGAAACCCATACATCATAATACCTTAGAGGCTAAAAGTACTTTATATTTTAAATTTGTTACATTATAAATTCATTATCACACAATAATAGAACAGAAACTTCTGCAATCACTGAGTCTGATACTACCAACTTGGAGAAGAGACAAATGAGACCCAGGTGGTATAAATGGCTTGGTCAAAGCCATATAGGTAGAAACTGTGAGTGGTGAAATAACTGAGAGAACTGTGTCCACAACTCTCCAGAAGATCTATAAAGGTGTGGAGTCACAGCTGGAACTGTGAGTTTCTTCCCAGGTCACCGAATTCTGCCTCCTGCTTTCCGTAAAGATTAGGGTTTATCAAATTTAAAATATTCCTGTCAGTAAAAGGACTTGATCTTTAAATAACCACCTTTTAAAGGGAGAGGGAAGAGGAAGAGGAGGATCTAAAAACAGATAATACTATGCTAACTTGCAGCTTCCCTGTATGTTCTTTATACAAAGCTTTTCCTTTCCTATATGACCTGACAGAAGAGGTTTGGAAAACTTCTAGAATGCAGCAGGCCTCTTAATTAGCCTTTCAAGCAGGTCAAATGCAAACTATGAATATTTTAAAAATATCTAATGCTAAACATTCAAGCATCTATATTTTTTCCATATTATGAAAGGAAGACTGCTAAAGAATTGTATTTGTGTATTTTGAGACTACATCCACATCTCTATTAAAAGAGCAAAAAGTTAGTTTTCTAACATCACTTCCCACCAATGAACAAAACAATTTTACTTAAATTTAAAGATTAAAAAGGCATCTCTAAGAGGAATCTCACACAAAAACAAAAAAACAAAAAGAAATAGCACACACTGAAAATTGAATAATACTGGAAATCAGCTTTGATTCAGGTTATTCACACTCAACATTCTTGCCACAAGTCTTCCCACTCCACCTATTAAACATTCTAGGTTTCCCATTCCAGGCCATAGTGCTCCATCACAGCCTCAGTGTTAAACATTGTGGTGTTAGATTTCCAATATTGAAGCTTTATATTAAAAAGCATTTTAAAAGGACCACGAGTGAAGCATTATAGGGCTCAAGGGTATTCCAATGCCCTCAAAAGGAAAACCACCTCCTGGTAGGGAAGTCACTTTCATCACCCCAAGACCACTGAATCTCCAGTGGGAAAATGTGAGCTCATGTGGTTAATTATGGCTCTTGCAGGCCATGCAACCTCAGATGTCACATTCTGTTGCCAATCACTTTAGCTAAAAAACCAAAAGGTTTAAGGTTTCCAGCATTCTGAGATCTGAAAGATTTTTTTACCTGCCACAGCCAAAACCCAGCTCTCCAGGGCGTGCTTTTCCAGTAAGCATTAATGACGTCCCTAACACCTAATGCAGAGCAGAGGTTTGTGTACCTTATGCTGTTCTGGTGTTAGAAAGGTCACAGACGATAGTTTTGTGAGTGAGAAGCTGGAGCAGGAGTGAAGGGTCCAGGGAGAAACAGGAATGAACCCTAAGATTCAGGTATGTGAAAAAGATGCTAATTCAAACAAAGTTTTAAGGGGCTTGAAAATAAAATAAAAAATCACAGTTTCCTCATAATAAATATTTCTGGATTATTTTTTAAATGTAAGTAACCACTCTAGGCTGCAGCTTTTGTGTAATTTTTATGACAACAAATTCCACAAACACACAATGGCCATGACAACATTATAAATTAATTCAAATGTTCCTTTGACTTATAGGTTGGACAAACTATTAATATTCAAATGCATCCAAGTACAATAAGTGATCTAAAAGCTCTTACCATCCTGCCTTCCCAATCACTGAGGCAGCTGATTTGTTAAGGAACCAAGCACCCACTGATCCAGACAGGACAAAATATTTAAGACTCTAATCACTGCCACAGCAGCTATGGAATCATTCCATGTTCTCAATGAGATACTGTTTGACATATGGACTCTCCTTTCCAAGAAATCATGCCTGCATAAAGGGATACAGACACAGAAGGAAATCTGGGTCTCATTACCACAAAAGGCTCTCGCGTTATGGATTACTTAAAAATACGCACGCACAAACATTTTTTTAAGCTAAATGTCTCAGTCAGTGGAACTCAAATGAAGACCCTTCACTGGACAATTTTCTCCCATTGTGTCCAGGTCTCCTTGGCATACTCCAACAGTAACTTACCCATTTAGAAAAGCACAATAATAGTGGGGCACTATGGTGGAGTTTCCCAAACAGTATCATCCCATGCAGTGTAAAGTCTATCCCAGCAAAGTCTCATGAATATCACAGAATAGCCAGCTTGGAGTTCCTTTACTACAGTCTCTCCCAGAAAAGCAGCTGCTATAGAATACTAAAAAGTTGTCACAAGTTTAAAGAGGTTATCATTCAAAGCAAGGAAGTAAACTGCATTGTGGCAGGAATAATATGAATCTTAGAATCAGGCAGACCAGGAATAATCTTAGCTTTATCACTGGTTATTATGGCTCCTTGAAAAAATTAATCTCTCTGAGCCTTAATTTTCTTTTTCTTTTTTTTTTAAATTTAGGGTTCTTTCCTCACAGATGAAATTAATTCTCACAATTGTGAGAATAGGGCGAATGTGAGCACATCATATTCTATGTTATTATATTTCTTTTCCTTTTTTATATTCTATTTTGAAATGGGTTCTCACCCTGTCACCAAGGCTGGAGTGCAGCTGCATGATCATAGCTCACTACAGCCTCAAACTCCTGGTCACAAGCAATCCTCCCACCTCGGTCTCCCAAAGTGCTAGGATTACAGGCATGAGCCACCACGCCCAGCCTATGTTATTATATTTCTACTCACCCAGCCTACAATGTCTTCTTACTCTCTTTCTACTGGAAAACAACATTTTGTCTCTTAAGTCAGTGAAAGCATCATCTTCTCTATAAAATTTTCCTGATCCCCTCCTGATAGAAGTAATTATTCTCACTTTTTTGAGTACCATGTACCTTGTATAAACTTCCAAGTACCTGACACAGAGTATGAATTCAGTATTTCTTGATTGTCTTTATTACAAATCTGATATCCTGAACGGAACTGTAATCTCACTAGGGCAGGATCAATGTCTTAACTATCTCATACCCTCAACACCTGGCACCATGGATGACATACAAAGAGCATTCAATACATTTAGTCAATGGAAGTGCCTTGCAGGATACTAACATAAGATTTTCTTTTTTTTAAAAGACAGAGTCTCGCTCTGTTGCGCAGGCTGGAGTACAGAGACACAATCTTGGCTTGAACCTTCGCCTCCAAGTTCAAGCGGTTCTGGAGCCTCAGCCTCCCAAATAGCTGAGATTACAAGCGTGTGCCACCACAGCTTAAATTAGCCACACCAAGCTGATTTTTTGCATTTTTGGTAGAAACAGGGTTTCACCATGTTGGTCAGGCTGGTCTCAAACTCTTGACCTCAAATGATCTGCCCACTTCAGCCTCCCAAAATGTTGGAATTACAGGTGTGAGCCACTGCGCCCAGCCAACATAAGATTTTTAAAGTCCAATATTACTGCATGTGCTTCTTAAAATTTCTGATTCCTTAGGTAATGGGGAATGAATAGGACCTTAAAATAAAATTAAACATTTATTTCATTTTATCTCACATTTTGTTTTTCAATAACTGCACTAAAAAACTACAGGTAGGGAATTTTTTCAAATCATTCTGTATTTAGCAGCCAGAGTGACTTTTAAAAGCCTAACTCAGCTCACGCCATCCCCTTTCTTGAAGTCCCTCAGGCATTTCCTACTTCCTTGATAATAAAACACCAACTCCTTACAGTGACCTCAAGGCCCTGGCTGCCCTCTCCTGCCTCCTCTAATGTAGCTCTTCTCCTCGCTCACTTAGGCTCCAGCTGTACAGGTCTGGTCTTTTCTGTCCTTTCTTCCTCTCTCTTTTGCAACTATTCCAGTTACGTTTATTGAGTACCTTCTATATGAAAAGCTGTTTCAAATGTTATTTCATTCAATCATCACAATAAATTACAGATATAGATGTCTCATTTTATAAGAAATTAAGGTAAAAGATTACATGATTTACCCAAAATACAAGTCTTTTCTCACATTCCCCCACCCTGAGTTTTTTTAGAGATGCCACGCCCATTCCTCCTTCATCATCACCTTTGTACTTGCTGACCTGACCCTTCGCCCAGAAATACTCTTCCCCCAGCTGTAGCATAGATGACTCCTTTTAGCCTTCAATTTTTATACTTCTCCTTAGAGAGGTCTTCTTTGACTGCTTTATCTAAAGCAGTTTCTTCCATTCTCTGTGACAGCACATTCTTTTATTAAATACTTGCTACATACTTATTTTCTTGCTTACTGGCTATCTCCCCCAGTAAGCTCCATGGAAGGAGAGAAAATGTTTACTTTCTGGATCTTTGTATCCTCAAAAGGCACAGTGCCTGGCATTTAGGTGTTCAATGAACATCTTTTTTTCAATGAATGATGTTCTACATCCCAGGAAACTGGTACGGGGCACAAGTACTCAATACATTTACTAAATGAATAAATGAGGAAAATGATGCGCCATGGGCTTCAAGACACCACTACTTTGCCTAAAATTAACATCAAAACACTTTTGTGAATGTCTTACAGAGATTTGAGAGAGCAGTATGAAATGGAAACCAAACAAATCCCAGCTATATTATTGCCTAGCTTTGTGGTCTCAAGCAAATCACTGAATACCATTTTCCTTATAGGATCCTTTTGTTTGCTTTTGTGAGTATTAAAGATTAGGAAAAATCTCTTGCATTTATAGCTATGGTATACCTCACTTAATTTTCACAACAATCATGTAAGATAGGTAGGGCATAAATTAATAGTTCATTCAATCAATTAGGAAATTAAAGGTTACATGACTTGCTCCAAATTACACAGTTTATAGAAGGGGAATCAGGACTTGAACATAGGTCTTCCAAGTCCTGGTTTATCACTCTCCTTTCATCACGTCTGAACCACTCACAGGTAAGGGCCCAAGGGGGTAACAAATTAAAGCAGTCTTAGATGTTAAATGACAACCAATAACAACAGCTTGTTTATAGGAAAATGAAAGTTCTGGTCAAAACTAGTAATGCTCTCTTCTTCAGCAGCTTCTCAAGTAGATAATATGCTGGCTTTGGGAATAATCTATAAAGATATCTAGTAGGCCTCAAAGCATTGTTTAGCCTAAGGAAAAAGAACCCACTTTACTAACAATAAAAATAATCACTTTACTGATATGCCAAAGAAAATATATTCTTTGGGAAACTTATTTATTTTAAAAATATTTATTTAATACTTAATATTATTATTATTTGCAAAAAGAGTAGGAAAAAAGATTTTAAAATATAGAAATTACTAAGGATCATATTCTATACTACCGTTAATGTAATTTATTTATTTATTTTAAGTTAAAAGATAAGAGAAATGATAGTATAACAAATTAAGCCTGTGGTAATGGAAACATCACAAAATTAAATTTTCAAATACTTTTCAGGTCAGCCGTAATGACTTTCTAAATAATGACTGAACAGATTAGCGTTTGCTGTTCCTCTGCTCCCAACTACACACAAATTTTTCATGAAAATCAAACCAAAATTGGAAAGGCAGTTATCTGTATTCTTAAGAACCCTACTGCCTAATTTGCTTTAAGCCCATTTAAAAACTGTTTTCTTTTAAATTTCTAATATAAGGTTCAGTAATTATTTTTCTATGATCGGACCTAACATTCTGTCTCCTATTAGGGAGTCTGACACAGATACTTGCAATTGGGAAAGGACAGAGGGTCCAAAAACTCTTTTGGATAAAGTGCTAGGCAACCAACATTTCAAGATATTCTATTTCCATACATTAATATATGCCAAATCTTTCAAAACAAAAAATTAAAATACCTTGGAAGTCCTCAGAATTAGGCAACTTGACACTGCATACAAAGTAATCCTTATGCTCATTCTGTGAATTTAATTAAAGAATGAAATTAATAATTAAAGCGAAGAAACTCGAAGTCAAATCTCAAAGAATTCAGCAGGTTGGTGCTGACTCAAAGAAAACACTGTTCTTAACTCCAAGTATTATCATAATTGTTGAAGCTGGATGATGAGTACATGACACTTCATTCTACTCTCTCCCTATCTTTACATATACACTTGAAATATTCTACAATAACATTTAAGACATCGTGTCCAAGGGAAAAACCATGTAAAATTATCATTATAAAAATATCCTTGGTTCATTCACATATATAAATGGTTTAATAAGATTCTATAAGCAAACTCAAATCCTATTAGCTTTTTTCTCTGAAAATTAGTGTTTTAAATCACTTTGCATTAAAAAGAAAACTACCAAATTTAGCAGATTTCGTTCTCTGAAAAATAATACTAATCAATTTTATTAAAGTTTTCCTTTTCCATTCATTCTAAGAAACTAAGCTCGAAAACCTAATAGCCTGACAGTTACCCCAGGAATATCTTTAACCCTAATACATGAAAATTAATTAGCAATCATATTCTTAAAGCAGTGCACATATATCTGCATGTCTGTGTCAGAAATAGTGATAGTGGATAATGCGGTTAAGTAAAAAGATCCTAAAGAAACCAAAAATAATTTGGCAGTGTTTCACACGATGAGTGCGTCCCACCACCAAACTGATATAAATAAAATTGTGGAACCTAAGGCCAAACAAGTCTAAATCTATGTTTTAAATAGACATTCACTCCTGAATGAGTCATGACAGAGCACATGATTAAGCCTAGAGCAATGAGTTTTTTCACTGAGAGGAAATTTCACACAGAAATTATCTTTTCAGAAAGAAAAATATTTTCAGAAAATTTGAAACTTACCAAATCAATAGGGTAAATGTAGGAAAGCTCAGAGAGTAATTGTCTGCAACGAATTGTCAACTGAGCATTAGTCTTCAAAAAGAGTTCTCTAATGAGGAAAGAAAAAAATATATTTATTAAAAATATATACTTGCATGCTTTGCAACATTTATTTCCATATAATTAATGCAAAGAAAGATTATACTATCTGTAACAGGCCACAGAAACTCAGAAGTAGAAGCATAAATAATAGCCACCATAAGTCTTGACCTATCTCCAAATAGTATCAATCAAGTTAACTATATACTGAATGCTACTATGTGTGATCAGTACCATGCTAAGATATGTAAAGGGGACTAGGAGTGGTGGCTCACTCCCGTAATCCCAGCACTTTGGAAGGCCCAGGAATTCAAGACCAGCCTGGGCAACATAGGGAGACCCTGTCTCTACAAAAACAAAAAAATTAGCTAGGTTTGGTGGCATATGTATGTGGTCCCAGCTACTTGAAAGGCTGATGTAGCAGGACCGCTGGGGCCTAGGAGGTTGAAGCTGCAGCACACTCTGATCATGCCACTGCACTCCAGCCTGGGCACCAGAAAAAGACATTGTCTTTGAAAAAAAAGAAATGTAAAGGGCACAAGTAATCATTCACTTGGCATCTGCAAATGGCCTTATTTAGTTATAACAACTCTAGTAAGTTGATATTATTATACCTATTTACAAACAAGGAAACAATATTTGGAGAATCTGAATAATCTGACCAGGATTTCATAGTCAATTTAATGAGGCCAATTTGATTTCGAGAAAGATCTGGATAGTATTTCCTCAAGAAATATTCTATATTTCACTCATAATTACATATAATTACCTCAAAAACCAACATATACTATGAGAAAAAAACGTATAAAGAACAAATAAACAAAAAGCTATAACATGAGATTACCCAGCTCTTCTCTTTTTTTTTTTTTTTTTTTTTTTTTGAGATGGGGTCTCACTCTGTCAGTCAGGCTGGAGTACAGTGCATGATCTCGACTCATTGAAGGCTTGACCTTCCCAGGCTCAGGTGATCGTTTCCTGAGAAGCTGGGTCTACAGGTGCACTCAACCATGCCTGGCTAATTTTTTTATTTTTTGTACAGGTAGGGTTTCATCATGTTGCCCAGGTTGATCTCGAACTCCTAGGCTCAAGCCATCTGCCCGTCTCAGCCTACAAAAGTGCTGGGATCATACGCATGAGGCACTGTGTCTGGGACCAGCTCTTCTCTTACACTACTTAAGAAACATGACCAACAGATAAAATACCTGTAAAATAAGTTGTCTGATCAACTGTGTCAAGAATTTAAGAACAAAAGAAATTTAGGAGAAACTGTAGGTCAAAGTGTAAAAAAACTATAGTATAATGCAAAGAGCACTGTGATATAATATGACATATATATGATCTTTCTCCCTGGTTCTTATCACAGAGCACCTAAAAACTCTTGGAATTTCCTTAATGATAAGAGTGTCTTTTGCTATTCATTATGAGCCCCTTTTGATCACACCAGAGTTTATGCTAACGAGATGACTTAAGGCAGGGCTCCTAGACAGGATGGAACTGGCCACTAGAAAGATCAAGTGATGAGAGGGTTGGACTTTCTTCCCCATCCACCAACCTCTGAGAAGAGGGCTGGAGCTTGAGACCTATGCAAACTCTCGCACAACAAGATTTAATGAGCTTCCAGACTGTGGCAGTGTCTGGAGATTGATACGCACAGACAGGGCATGGAAGCCCATGCTCCCTCCACCATACCTTGCCCTGTGCATTTCTTCCATCTTGTTCATCTGGATCTTTTGTAATGTCCTTTATAATAATCCAGTAAGGGTTAAGTAAATGTTTTTCTGTATTCTGTGAGCTGCTCTAGCAAATTAATCAAATCAAGAAGTGGGTTATAGGAAACTCTATTTAATTTCTGATTGACCAATCAGAAGCACAAGTCACAACCTGGGGCTTGCAACTGGCATCTGATGTGGTGGTAAGGCAGTCTTGTGTGAATAAGATCTTAATCTGTGGCATCTGATATTATTTGCAGGAAGATAGAGTGAGAACTGAATTAAATTATAAGACATACAGTGAGGGTCTGCTGGAAAATCTAATGTCAACAGTGTTGCGCTGAGTGGTGTGTAACAGTACAAAAATCACTTTTTTTCTTATTGAAATAGCATTAAAGACATAATGGGATCTAGTCCTGGCTTTGCTAGTGGGCTGGACAAACAGGAACTTACCAGAGCCTTGTCTTCCTATCTGCAAATTGAGAGAATTAGAATAGATAATCTTTATGGTTTTCTCTAGGTCTAGCATTTTTGAATCCTCAACTGCTAAAGCTTTTTGAAGAAAAGTGCAGGTGGATGGACTTTCCAGGAATAGTGAGTGAAGATGAGCAAAAGAACAGAGGTACCAATGAATTAAGCATGTGTTGGAAAAAATGAAGATAAAAACTATTAGCATTTGTTAAATGAATGTTGGGAGAGTGACTAAAATTAACTCCAGTTGCATAATAGTGCCAATTTATTAAAGGCTATTTGAAAGTTAAGCAAAAGGATCGCCATATTAAGAAGATAAAAACGCCAGGCATGATGGATCATGCCTGTAATCCCAACACTTTGGGAGGCTGAGGCGGAGGATCACTTGAGGCCGTAAGTTTGGGTCTAGAACTTATAGTTCGAGGTCACAGTGAGCTATGATTGCACCACTGCACTCCAATCTGGGTAACAGAGTGAGACCCTGTCTCTGAATGAATGAATGAATGTTTCCCCACATTAAAAAAAAAGTTAAAAAACAAGGTAAAAATGGTATTTTTAAGAGGAAAGTTCTGATAGTAGCACGGAGGACAATCTGGAAAGATGAAGAAACTGATGTTAGGGAGATAATCTAGTTGTTAAAGTAATCCAAATGAGCTAACAAGAAGCAGAAGTAAATCTGAAAAAAATATTTAAAAAAAATCTATAAGCTATAGAAGACAGGAGGAAGAAATTCAAATATTAAACCATGATGCTGTGACCTGAGAAAGTCAAATAGTGTTCATGTTTCTGATTAAAACTACATATTAGGGGCTTTCATAACTGGCCTCTGGCACAGTGCATAACACACAGTAGGTGCGCAATGAATATGTATTGAATAAATGAATGTGGCACTGAGGCATATGGACTACAAATTAATACCAGTAGTTTTAAAGAACGCTGCTTGTTCAAATCTATCTTCACAGTAAACTCAACACTCATAGTAATGCTTCTCAGTGTGCACTTACCTCTTTGCGGTGCACTCCTTCCTCAACTCATTTAGGGATTCCTTCTGGAGTTGAAGTTTGAGGTGCTCAGCTGAAAATGCACTTCCTAGGAAGAAAAGGAAGGAGACAATTCCACATGTAACATAGGATTACTCAATCACAACCAAAGAGGCCAAGCCCAAAATCCCTGACTGTAAGAGGGAAAGAAAAAGAGTTAAGGAAAGTAGGTTGAGTACAGAGATCTTTCTAGGGAGAGTAGCTAGAATAAATTTCCCTATTGGTCCAATTTTCACAAAAGTCCAGCCTCTGGCAGGAGCCTAAGAGTATATGCCTAAGACTCTCTATCTATAGATATTTCTCAATTACTGACTGAGAAAGATGGTCAATAATTGATAAGATTTTAAAATTCAAATTTCACTTTAAAAAAAAGGGTGGTTAACTCCTTTCCAACTGAAAATGCTATACAATAACATTACTGAAAGTATGTTTTAAAAAAGAGTAAAAAGTACCTGTATTTTGACTACTATAATATAGTTCATAAATATGAGTAGTTTCTATGAACTGTCATCTTTCTCATAAATATCATTATTTACCGTGCCTGTAACCCCAGCACTTTGGGAAGCTGAGGCTGACAGATCACTTGAGGTCGGGAGTTCAAGACCAGCCTGGCCAACATGGTGACACCCCATCTCTGCTAAAAATACAGAAATTAGCTGGAAATCGCTTGAACCTGGGAGGCGGAGGTTGCAGTAAGTCAAGATCTTGACACTGCATCCAGCCTAGGCACTAGAGGGAGACTACATCTCAAAAAACAAATCAGTAGTTAGGAAATGTGTAATCTGATTTTTCAACTATTTTTACATCAAGACAGCCTGAATGTGAATTACAGGAATATTCCATATTTTAAATGACACCCTCATTCCTCAATTTTTTTTTTTTTTTTTTTTTTTTTTTTCATACAGGGTTTCTCTCTGTCACCCAAGCTGGAGTACAGTGGCATGATCACAGTTAAATGTAGACTCACCCTCCCCAAGCTGAGGTGATCCTCCTGCCTCAGCCTCCCAAGTAGCTGGGACAACAGGCACATGTCACCGTGCCCAGCTAATTTTTAAATTTTTTGTAGAGATAGGATTTCATCATGTTTCCCAGGCTGGTCTTGAACTCCTGAGCTTAAGCCACCCACCTGCTGTGGCCTCCCAAAGAGCTAGGATTATAGGTCTGAGCTACCATGCCCTGCCTTCCCACCATATTTAAGCACCCTTCTCTTCTCTTTCAACATATTATGAAGACCAATAAGTTGAGAACTCTGACCCCCAATAGAACTTAACCAAGGAACACAACTTAACTTTTTTAGCCCACCATATAACTTTTTCCCAAATCTACACCTTAATGATATTTTAAGACATTTAGGTTGACACCCTCCACCCCCACATACTTCATCAGAAAGCATATGAATTCTTCTACCACTAGAGAAACATGCAGTATCATTTTTCATCCCAGATAAATTAGGCTGCCTAAACTCAAATAGCATTAAGAAGACCATAAATAGGACCAAAGACAGATCTGGGCTTCAAAATACAAATGAGTGTCCCCCTCCTCAGTTCAGAAGACTCTAGAAAATGTTATTACATGACCTCCCCTTAAGAAAATTCCTTGCAACGTGATAGAAAGGAAATTTTAAAATATATATCCTAACCAGCTAACAAATGGGTTAAAATGTAACATATCAGGTTCCTTTCTCTATCAAAGCTAATGCAGTTTAGCAGGCTGGTCTCGAACTCCTGGCTCCAAGCAATCCTGCTTTGGCCTTCCAAAGTGCTAGGACTACACATGTGAGCCACCACAGCTGGCAATATATCTGCCTTTATATTCAAAGTGGATTTCTTGAAGACAGTATTTATTTGGGTCTTGGTTTTTGTTTTGTTTTAAATCTAATCTGGATAATCTCTTTTGTAACTAGGATGGTCAGACTATTATACCTAATAAAATCATTGCTATGATTAAATTAAAATCTACAATTTTGCTAGCTGTTTCCAGTAAGTTCTATCTCTTCTTTGTTCCTTTTTTCTCTCTTTTTAAATGCTTTTGGATTGAGTATTTTTTAGTATTCCATTTTTCTTCACTATTGGCTTACTTTTTAATCTCTTTAAAAACGTTTAATGGTTGTCCAGGAGTTTACAATATATATCTTTAATTAAGCATAGTCTACCTTCAAAAATAGGTCAAGCATACCTTATCCGAAATGCTTGGGATGGGAAATATTTTAGATTTAAAATTTGTTCAGATTTTGGAATATTTGCATTATACGTACTGGTTCAACAACCCTAAACCCCAAAATCTGAAATCTGAAATGCTCCAATGAGTATTTCCTTTGTTGGCACTCAAAAAGTTTCAAAGTTTGGAATATTTTGGATTTCATATTTTCTGATTAGAAATATGCAACTTGTAATATTATACCACTTCATGTAGAGTATTAAAAAACTAAAAATAGTACACTTTCAGTTCTTCCTTTTCCTTTTTTTTTTTCTTTAAAAAAAAAAAGATGGGGTTTTGCCATGTTGGACAGGCTGGTTTTGAACTCCTGACCCCAAGTGATCCACCCACCTCGGCCTCCCAAAGTGCTGGGATTACAGGCATGAGCCACCACGCCTGGCCATTTCTTCCTTTTCCCAGTTTTCAATCTTCATATATTTTACTTCATGTATGCAATAAGCCCACAAACATCATTATTTTTGCTTTAGAAAGTTGATTATCTTTTTTTGTTTGTTTCTTGTCTGAGACAGAGTCTCACTGTTGCCCAGGCTGGAGTGCAGTGGTGCAATCTCAGCTCACTGTAATCTCCATCTCCCGGGTTTAAGCATTCTCCTGCCTCAGCCAACCAAGTAGCTGGAATTATAGGTGTCCACCACCAAGTCTGGCTAATTTTTCTATTTTTAGTAGAAATGGTGTTTCACCATATTGGCCAAGCTGGTTTCAAACTCCTGACCTCAGGTGATCCGCCTAAAAACACACATATTCCCTTCTTCCCTCCTTCTTGCCCTGCCACATCCCTAGACCACTATATTCAAACTGCTGAAAATCAGAAGTGAAGAGAAAATATTCAAGGCAGCCATAGAAAGAAGACACATTACCTGCAGAAGAACAAAGATTTCCTAACCTATCCTCAATCTTTCTTGTGAATATCCAATAGAGGTCAATGCAGAAGAAACTGCAAGCTGGTAAGAATTGCCTTATAACTGCTATAGTCACATACTAGTCCATACTTGGTCATCAACAATTTGTTAAAAACTTTAGCTCAATTATTTTACCTTATTATACAGCAGCCCCAACTTCTTCCCATGCTCCGCCATTAGTGAGCAGTACTCACATCCGAGGTCTCCTCGGAGGCTGTCTGTCTTTCATTATACTCAACCTACTGGGTGGCCTTGAGATCCTAGTTTTCTGAAGGATTTAAGAAAAGTTATGACTTTGTACATTATCCAGTTCTTTTTTTTTTTATTGTTAGGGTAGAAGTGAAACTCCTTCCATCTACATCTTAGGTAGAGGCTAGAAGGAAAATTTGAGGAGATTAATTTGATTTTTTTTTTAAGTTCTCCATTCTTTGTACTTTCTACTTTGGGTCAGCTATTCTGTTTATTCAACTTGGTCTCATTCATGCTGTTTTCCTCAAATATCTGATGATCATTAGTGCTCCTTTCAAACCCATGAATAAGTGATTAGATTGATTAGTAAAGGCAACTGGGATACCTTTGTAGCTATGAGATTTACATAAAAGGCCTCACCCCTTAGTGCCATTAGTATAACTGAGCTCATCCTGTTGACAATTAGGCTTTCCTTCTGAGTATATGTGCTGGGAGAAGGTAGGTATACTTTCACTTTAAATTACTGCAACTGTCAAAGGGAGCTTCACATTGGGATTTTATTCTGGGTAGGTATTTCACTCCTGAGTAGACTTGTCTTTCATGTTTTCTTCTGGGTTGGCTATAAAAGTCCAGTCACTTTAGGTTCTACTGTGACTTTCTACCATGTCAAACACTTATACCATGGGACCTAACCAGGTCAAGAATCCATTATGTTTAGAAAGCAGCTACAGAAAATCTTACAGAAAGTTGCTCCAAATGCACAGAGGAAGAATGCTGCGCCAACTAGCTCAACTACCCTGATTATTGCTTAAGTTAATTATTGATTTCAATACTGCAAAATTCCAACCTTGAATCCTCCGATGGTTCTCTCTATCAGGAAACCTTCCTGTGGCCGTTTCCATTTGTGTTCTAGGCTACAGTTTTTCTCTACTTTAGTTTATTCATCAAAACAGTCCTATCTACTTTGTATCTTTGAGAACTGTGCCAAAACCTTTGTTATTCCAATGACATCCTCTTTTGTTTTCACCAGTACCATGGTTTTATTCTTTATACATGTATCTTTATCATCACATCAATAGGTCACTGGCAGAGAGAGGGAACACAGATGCTGGAGCTTGGTTCACCATCTTCCAAAGCTGCTTTGGCTCTGTCCAGGCATATATCAATGCTCTACTCTGTTAAATAAGATAGCCTCTCTGTTCAGCAAGAACACAAGTCAGGCAATATAATTTTAATAGCAAAATGTCAATGTTGGCTCCTATGAATATAATAGCTAAAGACTGAATCTTGCTTCCAGCAACAAAATAAAACACAGACTCTTGGTTCTCTCTCATCAGAGTTTGGCCTAAGACTGGCCAATGGCCAGCTCCTGTCAAAATTACAGTTAAAACCAATAAATTGTCATTCTTCTGGGTTTTCTACATCAAGTCAGATGACCAAAAAGCAATATACTTGGAGTACTTCAGCTTCCCTCCCTGCAGAAATGCCTTTTCTGTACTATGATTTATGATGCTGTCCTTCTCAAGGGTTAACAGATATTTCTTGCTGTAACTTTTGCAAAATTACAACTGACTTTATTTCATTATGATATTTAATATCTTGCACATAAGAAACTGAATTCTTCTCCGCATTTAGTGCTAAGAGAGTATATTTATTTCTCTCCTTAAAAGGCTTCCTTAAAACAGGCAACAACAAAAAAATGATACCTTCCATACCTCTACACAATTGGTTTGACAGCTGAGGT